CACCTTTTGCCAAACGTTACTACAATAAGTTTTAAAAAAATATTAAATCCCCTTAACGAACTACAGTTGCTCTTTGATCTACAAAAATTATTTTTAAAGCCCCAAAGACTAAGCTGCTGTGATCTAAACCAAAATTTATAAAAAATAAGACATCAAAAATGAAAAAATGCACAGATCTTCTATTGAAAAACATTTGCTATTAAAACATAAGAGGGAGAAAAATATGAAAATCTCAAACTAAGAATTGTCTTTGAATTTTAAGATAAAAGAAGATCAATTAATTATATACCTTATATAAAAATATATGCAAAATTTTAGTATTTAGAGTCTTAAGCAATAATTTTTACTTTCTATTGGTTAACCCATTTCGATTATATTCCTTCACAAAGAAACTTTTTCGAGTAGCCACCATTCGACACTCGTATGCAAATTTAAATTGTGTCCAGTTATTCACTGTTTTTTATCTTTATTTCATTTCACTCGATTTAATTTTTTTTTTGGCGACGGTACCACTAAGAGCATTAAAGGGGCGCAGGGGCGGGGCCGATCCGAAAGGAGATGCAAAAATAACGTTAAATGTATAAATTCTCGCATTTATTTCATCGCATCGACGATGCAAATTCGTTTATGCAACCCGAGTAAAACAAAAAAAAAATAAAACAAAAAATTAAAAAAAAAATAAAAAAAGAGGGGTTTGTCCGGAAGGTTTTCCGCCGAAAGGGAGTTGCAAAAAAGTATTCATAAAAAATCACGGGCCAAATGGTTTTTCCCCTCGTCCAAAAAGAACACGCGTGTTGATGCCTATGGGTTTGAGTGCTTTTTGCGCTTTTCACCCAGAAAATTGTGCCATTCAATTAATTTTGCTGCTGTTCTTGGCATACAGTGCGTTTCGCAACAGTGCATCGCTCCAAAAATGAAAACTCTAATTTTATTATAACAAACTTGGCTGACAATAATTGATTGTAGAATAGTATTATTAATTATAAAATATATATTTAATGAAAATATACAAGTTGAATATGGCATTTTTAAAATAGGAAATCCACAGGTGTCCCATAAGGATGCAAATAAATTTTCATTTCTACCCAATTAATAGAGAAAGAAGCTGCACTGCGAACTCTTCATTAGTTGGACCAAAAAAAAGGACCAAAATAAAACTTGTATTTTTCGGCAAATTAAATTCGTTCCACTTTGGTGGAGAACCCAATTTAATGGTTGATTAAAAAATAATAATAAACAACGACGAAAGACAGCCCGGGTGTCCAGGGGGTTGAAAATCGATTTAATCCTTACTTCTGCCTGCCCCAAAGGCTTTGCCAAACTATTTGCTCAGCGCCCATCGACAATAAACGCAAAAAAATTTATATCTACTGTATGGCAACATAAAAGGGAATATTTTAAAACTTAATAATGTTTGGGGATATGACGGAACATTCAATGACAAAGGGTCAAAGTGCTGGCTTAATCGAGTTGCTATTAATTAAATCGAAAGGTTGCCTAAATGTGGGAGATATATATATATCTTTTTAAATTCTTTAATTTACAGATTTTCATGGGCCTTAAAATGACCTAAAATAATGGACTTTTTCATATATATGTTTCACCATCAAATTAATCAATTATTCAGGAATTTTTGAAATTTTTGTTTTGGATTACTTTAATACTTAAAGTTAAGATATACATATATCTTTAATTTGCCTACTAAGTTCAGATAAATTCTGATTTTAATGTGGTATTTAAAACTCCCTTTTGTTATTTAGCCTTAATTTCCAAGTTTGCAAAATGTCCATCAAAACCCCAATCAAAACCTCATTATTGACTTTGATGGCGGTTTACAATCGTTAGCCTGTTATTATTGTTTGGGGAACTAAGGGAGCCCCCTTTTTGTCCCCACTTTTCCCTTTTGGCGGCACACACCGTTTTTCTATCAACTTTGTTGGTTACATAAATTTGCATTGTTGTTGCTGTTGCCGCGCAGCAGTGTGTAATTAATTATTCAAAAACAATTAACTCTGCAAGCCGGCACTCCCACACAGCCAAAAATATACACTCGCACACACACACATACTAGCAAACATCGAGGACAAGCATTAGAAAGCACAGTTAGAATGCATAAAATATGCGGCGTTTGTATGTGTGTGTGTAAAGGTATGTAAAGGTATGCATGTTGCCATATTGTTTGCATATAGAGAGAGAGTCTATTCGCTGAAATAAACCCTCGCATTTCTCCCCATTTTCCGCCCCCTTTTTTCACCACCGGAGAAAGTTTACCAAAACCTGCCGAAAATTAAATTACATTTCAATTAAAATAGTTTCAAACAAAACACATTAGTAATTTTAAAATATGTTTACATTTCAGAACTAAACATATTTAGTCGACTTATTATAAAAAAAGTCAAAAAATTTAAATTGCTATTAATCGAATATTTAGGGATGGCGCCATATTTGAATTGGTACAATTATCTACTAAAATATTCAAATAAAAACAACGGATCACAAGGTCAAGATGTGTGAGCTAGATAGTTAATTAAACAAGTTACAAATTATTCGTCGATTTTTAATGTTAAAGAATGAAGCCAAAATTTAATTCGAACAAAATCGACGCAAACAATCAACAATATTTCCAAAAGGCTCAAGTCAAACCGAATTGTGTGATATCCAAAAACAATTAATTCCAAGCAGAACATTCAAGGCTTTCATCCTGAATGCCTCCTCTGTTTCACTGTTTGATTAGTAAGCTTATTTATTTATTAAACATGTTTCGTTATTGTGTACATATTGGCTTTCGCTTTTGTGGTCGGTCGGAGATGGAAAACGTAATGCGATACCAAGTATTAATTTATTATAACAACGTTTTGCGTTTAACAGTCATTGGAGGAGGGATTGCTAATTGATTCGTTTCGTTTAAAAACATACATATGTATGTATGTACATACATATTATGAGAGGACCAACTTGAAGTCGAGGGCAATTTGCCTGTCAATCCGACGGGAATTACTACAAACAAAATTGGCAAATACTTCTGTTTTCCATTTTAAATTGCATGGTCATGCGGTTGATGTCTGTTGCCAAAAACGTTATTAACCAAATGTTTCGGTTTCTTTTCCCCTTTGCTGCCATAATTGAAACGTTATCGATCCAAATGCAGTATTTATTTAAATTAAAATGCTGCAAACTGCAAAACTCAAAAGCATTTGCAGGTGTTCCCCGAAATGACAACCAAAAAAAAATAAACAAAAGAAACTAAACTGCTGCGCAAAAAAATTAAAAAGGGAAAATTTCCATTTAGATGCGCCACACATTCGTGAATGTGGAAAAAAACCTGGCCAAAGCAAACTGAAAATATTTTCGTTAAGAATTTATGAGCCACACAAATTAAGTGAACTTTGTGCAACATTTTGGAAAAATCCCACTTCCCACTCGCCTACAAAACAGAAACAAATAAACTAATAAATAGGTAACTTAATCTGTGGCCAAATTGAAAAGGGGAATTTAAAACGAGTTTTCATTTTACGGCGTCGGTTTCCCGGAATTTTCGTTATATTCACTTTGACTAGGGCTTAATTGGTTGGGATTTGAATGCTTTGCCATTAAAGCCTCAAATGAATCGTTGAAAATGCTGAGAAAATAAATCGAAATGCAATGAAGTGAATAAATTGCTGGCCAAACAAACTTAAATTGGCGATAGAAAACTTGAAATTGAAAAAAAGAAGCAAAATTAAACGAGAATACGAAGCAATGAATACTTAACGGAATAGGTATAATCTTGATACGTCATTTCTACAAATATTAATGGAATTAAATAAATACCTGTTAGCTCTTCGATTCCATGAAGTGATAATAACGATCAATGTTAATTAATGAGCAGCCTTTTACTATAACCAGTAGTTTTTGCAATTTAAAGTTATTATTTTACATTTTTAATATGCACATCCAATTGGTTTCGCTACAAAATTGCACAAAGATGACTGGATTTTTTCCAGGTTATCTACATTTCGATCTGCACATACTTCTAACAGTTAAATGTAAAATATTTAGAGTGGACCTTTTGTTTGCTGTCAGCAGAAATTTGTATTAATGTTCAAAACTCATTTTTTCGATCGATACACTTTAAAACTTTGTTTTTTTTTTATTTTTAAGCTAATTAAACTAATTTTAAAATATTTAAAGTTAACTCCTTTAGTACGTTCTTAGACCATTTAATTATCTTTTATCTTTTTGTAGTTTTTGGTCCACTCTAGTGCCACTCTTTTTTTTCCTTCTCTCTGCTCTCCCGCGGGCCCCAACTCTCTTGCTCTCCCCGCTATCCCCAACTCTCACCCAACGCTCTCCCCGTAGACAGTGCACATGCACTGAGAGCAACGATTGTCTGGCTGTTGTTGTTGTAATTGCTGTTGCTGTCATTGTTGCCCTTGTTGTTGTTGCTCGGTAGTATGTGGTTGTTGTTGCTTGAAACGGTGATCGCCGGTGCCTGGCACCAAATGCTGCACATCGGTGGAAGCGAGATAGAGCGAGAGAGGCGAATGAAAATAAATAAATGAAAGAAAGAAATACACAGAAAAGCAACAACAAAACGACGACACACACACAAAGGAGCAATAAAGAAATCAACAACAACCACAAGGCAGACAACGAGAGTGAAGAGCAAAAAAAAAAAATATATAAAATTGTTAATGCCTGAAAAATACCTTTGCGAGAAAGAGACGGAATACTAATGGCGGGTAAGGGTAGACATAATAAAATAAATTTAAAAAAAGAAAATCAAAAAAATCAAAAAAACAACCGGCTGACCTATGATGTTATTACCGGCATTCGCCTCCCGCACCTTTTTTGCTCCCCTCACCCTTTCACACACCGATCGTCTTTCTCTCTCCCTCTCACACTCTGCGAAGCGAGACGAAAGATGAAGAGAATGCAACAAAAACAAAGAATCATTGTGATAAAAACGAGAAACATCGGAGCTGAACTCTTTGACGATTTCAAGATAAGCCTAAATAAATATTATATGTAATTATTTGCAGGCAAGTTGGTTTTTCACATTTTTAAACACATTTTAATCTAAAAATAATGCTTATTAAGTGAACTATTAGAAAATGTATGTATGTATATAAAGTATTATTTTTGTGTCGACATTATATTGTTTTTTTAGGGCTAGCTTATGTTTACCGATAAAAATGTTAATGATTTTTCGAATATTTTCAAAGCAAAGGATTCAAGCTACGAACTTAAAATTGTTGATTATATTTTTGTAAATATAATTTTTTATTCCAATTCTGCAAATATAATAAAAATAAGTATTTGTGCCAGACAGGTAAAACATACAATTATTAAAATATGGTGTATATATTTTGTTTATATTTATTCAACTATTTTTTTTTTACTACAGTTGGGCAACTCTGAGAGCAAGAGCAACAATTAGAGCCGGCCGGCTAGCCAGAGGAAAAAAAGGCAGCCAAGCATTAAGCATTAAGCAGCGACTGCAAAAGCAACTGCAAATGCAACTGCGTTTGGAGATTGCAGTTTGAACTGGTTTTCACCTGAGCTTGTAAACTCGGTTTGGAAGAAGAAGAAGAAGGTTGGAGACGCGAAAAGCCGCTAGATTTGCCTACAAATTGACTGGGATTCCATTTCAGATCGCCTTGGCGACCGGAATACACCAATGAGCATATTTATTGACATTGGCATGCAATTTAAATGGCCGCGACAGTTGAGCATTGAGCAAATGCCAAACCGTTGGGCGAAAGTCGACAGCAGCGGTCACAACAATAGGTGAGTTGAATGAAAAAAAAACTTATGGACTTTACTTTATTTGTAGTGTAATTTTTGTGTGTTCCTCGTGTAAGTGTACTTCTTTAAATTGCCTTTCTTAGATATTCAAAATATTCAAGTTAAAAGTTAAAAAATAATTTTTATACCACTATTATTGCAATATTTTAAAGATTAGACAAAAACTTAAAGGGATTTTGATTTTTCTTTAGCGTGTCTTAGTAAACTTATAACATTTAATGTTCTATTTTTATTATTTTGAAATATTTTTGTCATATTTGTTGTAATGTTACATGTGACTGAGGCGCTTAAAAGTTTTTTTTATCTGATTCCAAAGGGCTTTTCCCTAATTTTTGTTTAACAGTTTAGCGTATCTTTGCTTAATAATGCATGGCATTAAAAAAATGTTTAAATATTTTTGTTGCAAAGTTTGAGACTAAGAGGCACCATAAAGGATTTGATTTTGATTCTGAAGGGCTTTTCTCTGCTTTGTTTTTTTTTGCAGTGTAGGCCTGTGTGTGTTTGCCTTTAGTGGTAAAGTTTGCCAAGAGCCTTTTGGGTTGGTCAAAGTATTAGCAAAGTTATTTGCCCGCAACGGGGCAAGCGACCGCAACAGCAGCAACATCAGCAGCAGAAACAGCAGCAACAGCAGCAGCAACAGCAGCAGCAACAGCAGCAGCAACAAAAGGCAACTGCAACACACACTGCAATTAACTTTGCGGTCAACAGCCACCCACTGGCCAACTGCCTTTGTGTGTGTGCCTGTCAGTGTATTGGTGAGTGGAAAGAAGAAGCAGTGGCTTTGGCTGCTGATGCTGCGGTTGCTGCCGGCGATGCTGCTGCTGCGGCCTGATGTTGCTGCTGCTGGTGCTGCAACTGATGTTGCTGCCGTCGTCTGTGATTAAAGGCCAAATGACAACAGCAACAAGCGAGTGAAAACGAGCTGCAGCTGTGATTTGGAAAGGTTGAACGAATGGCAAATGCTCATGGCATGAGTCTTCAAACTCCAATCTCCAAGCCTACACAGAAATCTATATAATATGTACCTTATAGAACGGAAAGCATTGACTGTTTTGAAAGGAACTATTATAAATTGTAATTAAATAATTCAATTTGTATTTTAAACTACCTTTTTTTTATTTTGTAAAGAAAAAAATACTAGTGTTTGTCTCGAATTACAAAGAAACAAATATTTTTTTTTATTTAATAAGAAAACATGTAATATTTCCCAAATATTTAAAAAGAAACATAAGAAAGTTAATTAGGAAACAGATTTCCAAAAAACAAAGAAAGTTTAGCACAATTTAAATAGAAAGCCATTAAACTCAAAATTAGAGTATCAATAATTGCCACAAAAGTCTTATAACCATACAACTTTAAATATAAATAGGAATTTTTAATATTTTCCGACTACCTTTCGATGGTAGGGTATCAACGACATCGTCGTCCACTGCTTTGAGTTTGCTTGCAGTGCGTTGAATTGCATTGCATTGCATTTCATTGCATGGAAATGGGTGTCACTCTGTAACTAGCACATTCGCGATGATGATAATGCATAATAATAATGATGATGATGTTGATGATCATAAGGCTGATTACGATGAGGCAAGCGACTCCTTAAAACTGCGGCATTCTCTCGCTGGCTCGTCATCAACAGCAGCAACAGCATTAGCAGCAACTGCAATATCACAGAAGCAACAGCAACAGCGGCGTCATATTGAAACTGGAATTTGAATCCGGTTGCCGGTTGTTATGAGGTCCCCACTCAAAGACTCTCCCCCCTCTGTTACCCCCTCAAATTTTGTTTGTGCCATGTTTATTAAATGCCATTAAAGCCATTTCTTCAGCCTTTGGCTTTTGCTCTTTGAATGGTAACTGCAGGGGGGTATGGGTTTTTGGGCCTACGAGGACACGGAAGTGTGCGTCACACTGTGGCAGAGCTGCATTGTCAGCAGCAGCAGCACTGCTCAAATGTCAAAAGGTACCATCAGCACCAAGAACGACACGAGCAACACGAGCAACATCAGCAGCAGCAACATCAGCAGCAGCAGCCAAGCGCAATCAGCAAATTGTATTAAATGACTTTATATTGCAATTGCTGGCCCTTTCTTTTTGATATATCTTTGAAGTACATATTGCATATAGTAGGAGAGCAAGATAGTCTCAGTAAATAAAAAAAACATCTTAAGATAAGGAAACTGTATCACATCAATTTAACTAAACAGTCAAATCTTAAAAAGCTGAGACTTAAAGCATTCAAATGGTTCTCAAAGTTTAAAAGTTAATGGTTTAGTTTAATAATAAGAAATCTTTAGAATTATTCATTTATTTGTTCAAGAAGCACCTTGAAACATATTTAAAATTGCAAGCTTATTATGAGTAATTTTTGAAGAAGGCACCTTGAAAAATATTAAACAAATTTTAAGAACCCTACACATTTTACCAAGTACATCATTTTAATTGGCTTACAATTCACGAAAATTTAACGTTTATATGATTTAAAATACCAAACATTTACATGGTAATCAAGTTTGACTAATGTTGATTTTATGGCATTTATAAGCTTTGCATGTTTTTCTGCCACAATTATCGATTTGCCCCCTTGCTAAGCCCAAAATCATGAAGCATAAACTGACAACTGGCTGACAGCCGGCTAAAAGCGTTGAAAAATGTTTTATTTTGTTTCTTTTAAACGGATTATCTTGTGAGTTTCATGACATTTGTTTAATTCCCCGGGAAATCGTTGGCTTGGACATTTATCAACGCTCTTTGCTCAGCATTCCCTTCACCATTTATTTTCCTACTCATTTTTCATTTGCCTTAATAAGCAATTTGATCGCTTGTCTTGACATTTACTGTTTACACATCTCATTTTTTTTCTGTTTTTTGCTCTACACACTGTAAATACTCATAGAGTTGCCCATGAAAGTCCAACATAATATAGTAGTAGTACCGCCTGCATCAAGGGCAGAAAATCTGAAAATCTGTGGCGCACATTAAAACGTTTCACTTAATTAAAATCAACGGCAAACACAGGGACCGCTGCAAAATGACCGCCCCCATATATGTACATATAAAGTATGGTATTCTGTAGAATACAGGCGCTAATAGCCAGCGATATGTGTGTGATTTGTGTGTGTTCGTGTGTGAGAAGGAGAGCTCTGACAAAAAAAAAAGAAAATAAGAATTCAGAGCACTGCCAAAGACGTGGCTCGAGAGCTTCCAGCATTTTTTCTACTTTGTGTGACTAACGACTTGAAATTGCGCTTATTAAGACTTCCTGATTCATAATTTCTGGCAGCACTAACGGCAACAACATCAGCAACAGTCACTACAGCAGCAATAACAACCATAAAATGGCTTACGAATGGGTATTACCCCTTATCTCAATGTAATACAGAAACAAATAAAATACAACTTGCTGATATTTGCATTGTACAATATTGTAGCAACTGCTGTGGAAACATTGTAAAATCAGTTATACAAATTTACTGCGAAAAAAAAAAAATTATAAATTAAGTCATTTTATTGCCCCAAACTAGTTTTTTACAACATTACTAAGTTGCTAATTATGCAGATGCTTTATCAAACTCAAGGGAGTATTTAGAGAGTTTTAATGCTTCAGAAACATTGGAAAAACAATTGATCAAATGTACTGGAAAAGGCTTTAAAAATAAAATACGAACTTGTAATGAATTAAAGCCACTTTATAGACCCAAACCAGTTTTTTACAATAATACATAGTTGCCATCGAGGCAGATGGTTTATTATGTGGAATACAATTATAAAAAATTTCTACGTCTTGCTTTTGTTTAAGTAAGAGGAATACGCGAATTCTTAAGTTCCAGCCATCGATGAGACAAGCTTTATCGATTGTATGCTGAAACATATTTTACGACTTTGGAACATCCAAAACTATTAAAAATAAAATCATTTTTCTTCGATACCCTGTATTTTAGGCGGCGATAGCAGAAACCAAAAGACAGCAAAGAATTTGCGGGGAATGTGGCGAGGGATTCGCTTTTCTCTCACCCCCCACTCGGTTTTCTCTCCTTACATTTTTTGCTCAACCTTTTTTTGTTTTGTGTTGTCTGGCTTTTGTTTTCGGTCTGTAACGATTTTTGTAATTTTATTAATTTTTTGTTTTGCCATGGAGGGCAGCTCGGTTTGAATCTCAGTGCCTTTTTATATACGGTTTGGTTTGGCTTTGGTTTTGGGTTTGGTTTTGCGGCCTGGCTGCTGACTGCTGACTGCTTTCTTTCGATTGTCTTGCCGGGGTTTCCTCGCCCCTCACGGCGTTCATAATTTTCGTAGGAATCGAGGGGGGAAATGGGAATGAGACTTGGAACGGGAATGGGAATGGGATATGGAAATGTTGGTCATGCTGCGGGCAAGATTTTCAAGTGACACGACCAGTTACCGCCACTCACACAAACAGTTCGCTTTGTGCATTAATTTGCTGGTGTGAAGTGCTAATCAATATATATATATGGAGGCGACAAATTAAGGAAATGCAATTTCCACACAGTGAGCCGAGCGGGAGGGTGGAAAAAGTCACAAAGTCTCCCTAATTTATAAGTCAAACATGTCGGGGAATTTCGAAGAGGAATGTTTTGCGAGTCAAAGCAAGGAGATCAATGACATTTTGAATGGCGCAAAAGGATGGTGGGATAGGCGAATGTTTGGAATTTTAAATGAAAATCTACTTGACAGCATTTATAAATAATAAACTTCAGTACCTAAACGGCATTTTAAATTAACAATGGGCTTTAAGTTAAACGCATTGACAGCAGCAGCCAAAAACAACTTAATCTAGTATTGTGTTTATAGAAGAATTTTATCTGTAAGATCCTTAAAAATATTTCAATTGTGTACAAAATTTTTTAATTTACTAGGTTTTTTTTTACCTTTTTTTGATATTAGGATATACTTATTTAAAATATATAAAACTTTAAATTACCTGGTGATCCATGGCGGTTGCGTGGTCCTTCGGTGCGCACGGCGAGCAGGGTTTCCAGGTTGCTGAGGGCCACAAGGGCCACTAGCAGCAGCGCCAGGGTTGTCAACTGGTCGCGCTGGCGGTGGTGCTGTGGTGCGTGGTGGTGTTCCAGCTCCAGCCTCGGCGCGGTGGCTCGGTGGTGCTGTGGATGGCGGTCGCCGATGGGCGAGGAGGAGGAGGAGGATGATTCTGATTCCTGCAGCGGGTCGGCGGCAGGGTTGTCACCCTCGGCGGGGTCTGGGGTCGGGGTCAGGGTCAGTGGGACTGTCGCCGGGGGTCGCCAGCGGGAACGCATTCTGGCCTTGTTGGGCGGCTTGCGACCAAATCCGAATCCAATGCCCACGGGCGTCGGATTCATTTTTGGTTCGTTGGTCGCTACCCTGGCTTCGCGGCTTCTTATCCTGGCGTTTTTAGTCCTTGAATTCGGATTTTAGATGTCGGTGACCCCTTTTCGGTGACCTCTACTGCTCTGCCAACCGCTCTTCTTCTTCTTTCTTTATTATTTTTAATTTTATTTTTTGGTGGGCTGCTTTAATGAAATAAGCGGAAAATTATCGCGTTTAATATTTGTAATTTATTTCTTTGTGGGCGTGACTGGGATCACTTGAAAGAGCAATTAATTAAATTTAATTCGCCCCGTCGGCCCGTTTTCGTCTTATTCCGTTTGCTCTTTTGCCTGCCAAACTTTTTTGCTTATGAAAGATAATTGCTGGCTCCCTCGCTCGCACTCTTATAGCCCCCTCTCGCTGTCTCGCTCGCTCGCTCGCGGTGGCCCTATCTCGTTTTAACACTTTTTACAATAATTGAAAAACTTTTTTCGGCTGCTTTATGTGAACTTTTGCCTTCGGCGTCTTTAAACTTTTCTCCTCTCTTTTTTCGTATTTATTTTTTTTTTTTTTTGTATTATTTTTTCGTTGTTTGTTGTATTTCAGACACTTGAAAAATAAAAATTAATATGGTGCAAGGGAGCTGGCATCCTGTCGACTGTTGTTGTTATTGCTGGCTTTCTTTTTTTTCATTTTTCATTTGATAAGGAAATTGCATATCCTTAAGAGTTTTCACTGCGCTCTTTGCACTGCAATCCTGCAAGAAGAAAATAGTGGGGAAAAAGTTAGAAAAATGTTTATTCAGAGTATTTTTCAATTTCTAAGTGAAGTACGATTCATTTTTGCGGAAAGTTTTCAATCAGGAATTTGCCCTGGCTTAATATTGTTAATTTGTTTTATAGAAATATTTTAAATGTCTAATTTCGCTTACAAATTTCACTGTTATGCAACTGTTTTTAATATCTATTCTCCCCCATTATCTTTAAACACAATTTGAAGACTGTGACTTGGAATCAAGTGCCATTACCGCATCGAAAGCAAAAAAAGGGAAAGAAGAAAGCGACGTGGAAACAAGGAAGAAAATAGAACATTGAGCTGATTACATTAATTTAAAGCACAAATGAATTGCTCGACGAAACGAAAGCGAAGAAGAAGATGATGAAGAAAAAAACTGAAAAACGTGGATGCGAAATAAATAAAAAGTAAAGTATTAAAAAGTGAGCAACAATCAAATACAATAGCTGGCGGAGATCATATTAAGGAGGGTTTCGATGATTTGGGATGCCTACACGGGTAAAAAAAAACGTGGTAAGTTCAAGTGTTTTATGCTCAATTTAAAAAATTTTAAGCTTTGAATTTCAACCATTACTGTTTTGAGTTTTTTTTATTTAATTTGACTACTTTTGAAATAGATTTTAGTAACCGAAAATTGTATTTAATTTTTAACTTAAATAGACATTTTAATCTAATGTTTTTTTTAACTAGTTCAAATATTTTAGTATCAAATCAAGGACTTTAAAATTGATTTTATTTATATTCTAATTTTGAGTTTAATTTAAATGTAACATACAATGTTTACTGTGTATTTAATTTGTATTTATTTTTATTTATTTATTTATTTATTTATTTTTCCGTTTTTGTATCTGTCTACCAGTGGAAAATCACGCACATCGTCTCCGAGAAAAATGTGGGGGACGAAAAGAAAGCCGAAAAGGGGGTGGTGGTTGGGTGGTTGTGTGGTCTGGTACAATAACAATAAGTGGGTGGTTCATGCGGTTAGGTCAGATTGAGGAGTAGGCCTGACGATGCCAACGAGTCAACAAAAGAAATTGCTAATGTGGGCAAATAAAAATGGAACAAAACAAATACAACCACACACACTCACACACACTAAGGCAGCCCAGCACACACTCACACACACACATTCCCAGTCAGTATTAGACAATTGAAATTGAAAATCAGTGAAACCTGTTTTCACACACAAAAGCTCACGCACGGCAAGCTTAGGCGCACAAAATTGCAAAAAAAAAAAATAAAAAAAAAGAAATAAAAAAAAACGAAATGAGAAAATGGCAAATAGAAAATGGAAAACAAAAGAGGAAAAACCAATGCACAGACACAGAGCCAAAGTTGGGGTCAAAGATGAAATGCACTCAAAGCGCAGAAAAAAAGAGAGCCAGGAAAAAAATATTATATAAATTGTCAACAACTTGGAGGAATTTTAATAAGGCGGAAAAATATATACATTGCCATCTTAGATATTTGCAAATGATGTATTATTATAAACACTTTCAAAAATAAACAAATCGAATATATGTTGGAAATTGATTAAAAATAATGCTCTAAAATTTAAAAATAAAATTAAAATAAAATATGAAACCCAGCTTTTATTAGCAGGAGATTTTGGTTTTTTTTTCAATCCAAATACACTTAAAACTAATTTCCTATACTCAAAGAGTCTTTCTAAACTTTTAAGAATTCTTTGTAACATTTTATATTTAAAGGTGTGTGTGGGTTTTTTATCTAGGACATATGGAACCATTTTGCACATATTTCCCTAGGCCTCGTTGAAAAATCACTCGCACCTCTGCCATGCAAGTCGCTGGAAAATGCAGAAAATTTCTGCAGGGAAAATCCAACAACGCCTATGGGCGTTGGGCTATCATCAACATGAGCATTTAGCCCGTGGCCCATCATCATCAGCGACATTTCGCTACCCAAATGAAAAGTTACGCAAATCAGCAGCAGCCGCAGGGATGCACAGAAAAAAAAAGTTGATACAAAATATAGTACAAATAAAAATCTGACTGTAGAATTCAAAATATAAATATTTCATGTATAAATTAAATATTAAATCATTATTTAAAATACAATGCATATTAAATTGTATGAATTAACACTCAAATGTTCTATTTAACGTGTTAAATATTAATTTAACTTTAGTTTTAATTATACTTGAAGTTTTAGGTAATAAGTCAAATGAAAAATTGTAAAAATGTTGTATATTTTTATATTTTAAAAACTAAAAACAGCAGTGTATGAAAATCAATGCGAAAAATATTTGAATTTACTACGTTTTCTTTACCAGTGTATCAATTTGATGTTCTCAGGCCATTGAAAAATGAAAAATTTATATTTCTTTATTTATTCGAACATGTTTAAAACCAAATTGAAACGGAATTTCATCAAAACTAGTATAATTTCTCATCAATTTTTTTCTGTGTCATGAGGGGGTGGTGGGTGGCCTATTGATGGAGGGGCGAGGTGATTTTTTTTTTGGCCAGGCCTTGCACACCTGTCCGTTTTCATTACGCGGCAGCCAAGAAATTGCCAAAGCCATTTTCGAAAATGGCCAGAAAACACAGAGGCGGAGGTGGGAAAAATGAGCCAAAGGAGGGGACATCGTCATAACTTGAAATGGAAATAGGGGCAGAGGACTGGAAAGGGAAAATGGCCTGCCTAACGATCCAATCACGCGACCATCTCAAAGCACGGCTCCCCCAGAAAATCATTTTGGATCTGGATTTATTGCACTCCCCGCTTGAAAACCAGAGAATCCCGCTAATGTTCGCGCTGAAAAGCTCTCAGGAAAAACAAAAAAAAAAATGAAAAAATGGAAAACTAGGGGGACGAAATGTGGAAGAAGAAGAAGGTGTGTGTGTGTTTGGTGGCTTAAAAGATATCCAAAGACGGCACCGCAAAATGTGTTTTTCGGGCATCAGGTGCGCATTATGTCAGGAATAAGAAATATGATAGCAACAAAACCAAAACCAAAATAAATATAAATATAAATACAAATTTACAACAATCGAAAGAAGAGGCCGTCGACAAGCCAATAATAAATAAAAATAATGCCATGAAATATATACTTCAAAGTAGAGAAAAGTTGCGAACAACACAGCAAAAACAGGCAGTCCCAATTGAAATATTTAAATTTTTTGTTTCACATTAAGGAAAAGTATTTCAGGAGGAGGAGTTCAGTGGCGAAGAAATAAAGCGGAAAATAAATGACAAATTGAGGAAGAGTCAAGGGAAAAAAGGAAAAGCGTTTTACACAAGGGAATTGGTTGACATAATATTGAGTTCCTACTCAAGACTTGAAGGCAATTTAAACAGACCTTGTTTAATAAACAAATTAAGTTCTCATTTAAAGTTATTTGAAATTTTTTTTTTAAATAAATGCACAAATTATTAAGATAGTAAGACAAAGGTTATTTATTTCTGAAACAAATTGTTGTGAGATAAGCATACATTTTGGATATTATTAATAACTAATAAACTTTTTTAAACTTTATAGTACTTCGATAAGATTTGTATATGCTTTAAGCAGACTTAATAAACAAATGAAGTTCCTTTATTTTAATTATATTTTTTTTAAGTAAATGTACTAATTATTAAGATAATTAGACAAATGGAAATTTCTTTGTGAAACATAATTTCGCTATTAAAATATACAATTATTTTTTTACTCGCCAAAATAGTTATATTTTTTCTTTTATTTAAAACTTTTGTTAAAATTTCACTGCCCTTAAGGTCACATGAATTGAAATATTCAATTGGAAGAAAAAAATGTTCGACCAATTTCCCACACCCAATTTTTCGTTTTTTTCTTTGACCTTCTGCCATTGTCAACCAAATGCTGATGGAGGTTGATACGCCTCCTGATCCCTGACCCCCGACCCCCGACCCCTGACCTCTGACCCCGACCCCGCGTTTCTTTGAGTTTTCCTTCAGCTGGGCAGCAACTAGTCAGCAATTTTCCACCGCCGCCCCATTTTTTTGCCGGTTCTCACCTTGATTCATCATTGTTTCGTGTGTTCTGGCTTTGATATGCTTTGATATGCTTTCATTGCGAGATTTGCGATTTTCGCATGGTGGAAAATGGAGGGACTTTGTATAAAGAGCGGGATGGTATTTTGTTGGCTCTGCTTTTGACAAATCGGGGCTAAAAATTCAATGGTTTTCCAACGTTTTTGCATGCAGCGACAGCAGATAAAAAGACGTTGTGTGATATCACAGAAAAAATATTCCATTCAAATAGGATTTTAGCATTTAAAAATATTTCCAAATGTAGATTCTAAAGTTTAGTTTTTGAAGTAAAAAAACATTATGATACAAGAGATGAAAATAGTCAATGAAAAAGTGGAAATTAGTATTTAAACATACTCCCATGTTTATATTCTAAAGCTTAGATTATTTACTAGACGGTTTAAAAAAAATAAATAAATATCTGATTATTGATTTCAAAATGTTATATTTAATATTTAAATAAAATATTAAGTCTTTAATAATAATACAAATTACAATGCATATTGAGTTGCATGACTTAATAATAACACTTTTTAATTTAATTTATTTTATTTAAAAAAAAAGGGAAATTGAATACAAAATATTTTTATTTACTATGTTTTTAGTATTAATATTCCTATTTAAATTTTCTAGATTTGCTATTTATTTTATCTATTATTTTATATCTTTAATTTCATTTTTATAATCTTAAAATATTAATAAAATTAGATAAAGCATTTTTAGGCTACTTAAAAACATTGTTCTGCTAAATTTTGTTGTACTGCGTTTGAGCCATGAGAAAACAGGTAGAGTCACCTTGTTCGCCCCTTTTTCGAATCTTCTTGGGCTTATTCTTTATTTAAGCAAATCTTTTTGCTTTCCTCTTTTTTCGCAAGCTTTAAGAAATTCTTCGCTCTTCATTCGTTTTTCTTGATGTGGTGACGACTTTTGCTGTTTCATTCTTCGGCTTTTCCTCGTTCTTCTGTCTTCTGTCTTCTGTCTTCTGTTTTTGGTCTTATGTCTTCTGTCTCTCTGGGTTACTGTTATTTGGGTTAAATATCCGAGTGAAAACTGTGTTAATGGGTGAAGTTTATATATATATCTGCATATGACCATTTATTTATGTTCGCAGCTCGCAGTTTTCTAGCTGAGTTTGCATTTGGCCAGCAGTTTTTTTGGTCAACGTTGCAGAAAATAAGTGGAAAAATAGTTTGGTAACTTTTTTAAGCATTTTGAAAACTCTCATAAAAAATTGTACAAAAATTGGCTTAGTTCTTGGTAAATAAATAATAAATAAAATCTTTTTAAAAAATATATTAAAATAAATACCAAAAACTTGACTAGTAGAAAATAAGAACAGAGTCTTTAAAAAATAATAATTCAGACTTAAAAAATGAATTAATTAAAATACTTTAATTTTGTATTGAACTTTTACCCTGAACTCTACTTAAATGAAGAACAATGATAATATGGTAAAGCATTTTGCCGATAACATTTAGGTAATTCAGCTTGAAAGGAAAACAGAACGAAAGAACCCGAAATAAATCTAATTCCTTGCCTTTCCATTTACACACTCGAACACAGTGCTGCATAAAAGTTATGCAACGGCAACATAAATCAATTGCCCTCGTCATTTTCATTTATTTATTACGATGTTTTTTTTTCCTTTTTTGTTGGTCATTGAAAAGGAGGTGCAAGGCAGCTTTTTTTCCCCGCACAACCCCTGTTAGCCCACCCCCTGAGCCCCCTTTTAACCCTTTTACACTGCCCGCCTCACCTGCGCGACGACAATGGTAAATATTTTTATTGTATTTCCTTGGTGTTTGTGTTGAGCTCGTTTTCCAGGGACCCCAATTGCGATTGCGATGCCGATTTCGATGCCGATCCGGATCCCGATCCCTTTTGCCACTGCTTTACGGCTTCGATTTCAATTTTCGGGCCCAAGGGCAGGTTGGGCTTGGCAAAAGGAAGTGACGAAGGGGGCCTGCCAACAGCCAGCCAGAAATCCCTTTTGCCACTTTTGGACATTGCCATTTTTCGCTTGCCACACACAGGCAGTTATACATCCAACTGATATTTATATGGTTGGCTGCACAAAGCGGGGTATGTTGAACTTTATTCCACATAGGTATATAACTTCTAGTATACTATTATTTTAATAATTATATGGTAAATAGAATATTAAGCAATGGTTCCATTCTTTAAGTTATGTTTCAATATAATTAATTATAAGATAATACATATTATTACTTTACAATTGTTTGTAACTTTGCATGAAATGATAAAATTGTAAAAACTTATTTCAAATTTTAATTATGGGTCTCAAAAAATATATATAGGAATAAAGTTTAGTCATTATATATAAACTTCATTTGCTTAAAATTTTCTTCTCCATGTTTTTTTTTAATTATATATTGGTTATCATGTAATAAATTTAACAAATTGTGAAACTAATATTAAATTTGAATATAAATATAAAGTTCTAAAAATTGATTTGCTTGAATTACACATTTTTTATCAATATTTA